CCTGTCTCTTTCGGCCTCTCTCCGATGGGTTTGCGACTTTCTTGTTTTTACTCTCTTTTTCAGAAAAGGGTCGTAAGCTTTTTATTGGTGGTCTTTCCTCAAACGCTAGAAAAGAAAATCTTGAGCATGAGCTTAAGAAATATGGTGACATCTCAAACATTTGGGTTGCCAGAAACCCACCTGGATTTGCCTTTGTCGAGTTTTCCAAGGCCTTTGATGCAGAAAAAGCCGTCCGAGCTCTTGATGGCATGAATATATGCGGTTCTCGTATACGCGTAGAGTTTTCTCATAGCAATAAAGCCGGTGAGCCTTCGTTTGTTCTGTTCGTCTTGACTCATGTTGTATCTTAGCCTCGTCTTTTCGATGGCTACTTGCTCACTTCAAATTTCTCGATCCACATGCTTCCGAATATCCTTGTTCAGGCGCTGGAAATGACTCTACTCGCAATCGTCAAGATCACACTGGTACGTTTCGTGGCGCTGCCCCTCAATTTTCATCTGTTACAAATTTGACCGCTCCCTCTGCTACTGATGCTTCCTTTCATCGATATGGCTCTCCAGCATCTAAACGCCGCGATGACACTTTTCGACGCGCTGGCTACGCTCAAATTAATGCTACGCGACGGGATAACCTGGGCCCCTCAACTGCCGTTGGTGGCCTACCCTACCGTTCAGATATTACTATTCCAGGAGCTTCCTCTCTAGCTGCCCCTTCCGCCCCAAGGCTTTCATTCGAGCAATTAACTGCCTTGTATCACGTCAATCCTGAGCTTGCAACTGCTGCTGCTGCTGCCGTGCTTGCCAATGGTTCTGGGTATGCGGGTTTGGCCCCGTCAGGCCAACACAGTGCCGCTGGTGCAAATCCTTACGTTACTTCTGCCACAGAAGAGCTACTACGTAATATTCTTTCTCCTACATTTATGCATTCCGGGGGAGCGAGCGGCTTCGGGGCAAGTGGCAATGGCTTTGCCAATAACATGTCTTCCCTCGGAACATCTAACATCAGAAGAACGCCGGTGAGAGGACCTGCTGACAGGCGGAGGTAAACGTCTTTAGAAATTTTAGGCTCATTTCCGAGCCATCTCTCCGATATATGCATGCGTAAGTGTACCTCCTCGCGGCCTTCCGACTGATGAGCAGCCAATTTCTTCCCGCAAACTTCGACTAATAACTCATAGTTATCGCACGGCGTCATATACTGCTCATAAGCTATGGGAAATATCTGCATTATCCTCGCACTCGGTCTGGGCCTCAACTAACCCATTTTATTTTCATCTGAGGGTCTGCTGTCCATACTCTGCCATCTACTATTAACTTGCAAGGGCTCATTATTCTCGCATTCCCTCTAAGCCATAAGTAATTTCATCCCTCTCCACTGCTTCTTCAACTACACTACGTATACAGCCTCACCTGGTCCTCCGGGAGCTGTTTAGGCCCTGATCATACTCTCTTCGTCCGTCATTTGCCTGCGCGCTGAGACTTTTAGTTAGTGACTCCGTTCTGAGTATTGATTCAAGAATTCTTTGGCGGACGAAAATTATCCATGCCTTCTGCATCTTGTCGGTTCCATCGCTAATGCGGTTGGTCACTTTATTTGAGTTTCACTTGGAGAGCCTCTGCTCCTTTTGTTATGCATCATGGTACAGATGTGGCTCTTTATCGCATTGTGCTTCTTTAAATAATCGCATATTCAGAAGCCGCAGCCGGTCCCCGATTGATCACCAACGCTTTCCTCGTCGTGATCGAGAACGTGATTCCGAGAGGGATAGGAAGCGAGTCCGCGACCGAATCGAAGATTCTTTTAATCCTACTGGTGACCGGCTCCCACTCATAGCCTGTCCGGATCGTTTTACACCGGGTTCATCTTTTCCCACGGCGCCCCGTTCACCCAGGCTTAAGCGGGGACTACGGCATTCTGCTTCACCTTCATCATTACCTGCTCCTTATTTCTCTCATGCTGGGCGCCGTCGTAGCAGGGATCGATCGCGCAGCAATGATCGCTCTGGGACGAAAGATCCATCTGCAACTCGAGAGCAGCCCCGCACTCGATCCCGAAGAGATGAGTTCGATTTGTCAGGAGCGGAGGATGAGACAAACAGACAATTCCCTGAAGGCAGTCGAGAGCGGCGTCCACAGCAGGAGCGTGCAAGCAGAGAACGTCGTTCCAGAGGTGCAGAAGATCATGAGCATACTGCAACCCCATCCCAGGCTTCTTCCCGCTCTAGTCGCACTACAAGCAAGCCAGCGGATCGGAGCGACGATAGACGTAGGCGATAATGGTCACTTCGTTTGAATTCTGTGGTCGTCTTTGCTGGATTTGCTTCTTTATCTTCTGGTCGTATTGATTGGCATTGCTTATTCTCAAATCTAATTTGTCTAGCAGTTTTTAGCATTTTTATTTGAATACGGGTCGCCGAATTTTGTTCCATTCACCCAGTTATGTGTGCTGCTTCTTCGGTTCTTTTTCGTTCATTAAGTTCAAACGAAACTCGTTACTCCAATTCTAATCTCTAACTTCGTTGGACCTCACTACCTGCTGACCTACAAACCTACCTCCACAGCCATCCCAGCCCAGCATAGGGCTGTCCAATCTGGTAGCAGGTTCATCGTGAAACTTGGACTGAAAATTTATAGGATTGCGTAGCACTTCACTCGATCTAATCAATAATCCTTGGATGATCTCTACGCGTCTCAAATTCGTAATGTCCTGAAGCCGCTCTGGTGTCCATTTGGGGTAGGGCCAGTCCATAAATCTAACGAAACAGTTAAATTCCATTGGTAATTGTCAAAGTGAACAATGAGTTTTTCTTGGATACCAGAACACGTGTTTCTAGTCTTCATCTTAAATTGAATGGACCGTTTTCAAGACCTTGGTCAGGTGAAGAGTTCGGAGTACAAGCCCTGGGGAAACCCAAATGGTGTATCAAGTACTGTGGGTATTCTTACCCGAACCCTCTACATTCGTCCCCCCCC